TGTTCTTGGTCAAATCACTAAATCTGTCAGGTGTCAGTTTCTCCATCCATAAATTGAGGACCTATCAGACCAACAGAAGAGGTGGAAATTCTAAACATAGACTCATGAGCATATGAGAACTGTCTGCTTTAAAGGGTATATCTTCTATCACTGAATGAAAACCAATGTTCTCTTACTAATCAGTCACTTCCACAGGTGTCTACTTGGTTTTTATTTTCTATAGCACCCAAAGTAGAGCTATTCTTGTAATATGTGTTCAATAAATGCACATTGAATAACTTTAATCTTCAAGCCCATGAATTCCAGGTTTTATACTGTGTTATGTTTGCTTTTTTGTTTTGGCTAGATGAGACTAAGACCTTAAATAGAAGGACATTTTACCAGTTTTCCAATCAAGGGTTGATTGCCCCTTGTAGCCTCCACTGCTGGCTATGTTAAAAGGATAACAACATCAAGATAAATAGAGAGGATGACATTTAGGCATTGGAATTGGCATTTCCCTTATAGAACTTCACTTCATATCGAGTGCCTAAAGGAGATATGAGCTTTTACACTGTTTTGAAGTGATATGTGCATGAATTCATTTGACTGGTGAAGTTCGCAGTGTTAACTAACCATAAACTTAGGCAATTTGGGATGCATATAGATTGCAATTGGTTTGTGAAAATGTCTAGCACGGAAGCAATAAAGCTCGTATAAACCCTGAAGAGACTTTTTTAAAGCCATGTCATTCTGTTAAATCCGGGATTATTTATGATTTTACTGATAATCTTTATATGACTGTCTCATAGGTATCTTTTTAGCTATGAAACTATTTATATTCAACCATTTTCCTCCAGCTGTCACTTATTACTAATACAAGGTTTAAAAAAAATTTTTTCTATTTATGGATAGTCAACTTTTTAGTTAGGTCATTAAACACTGTCTTTAACACATTTATTGTAGAGAATATTGCTAATAGCTATTGAGCACCGGTGGGGATTAACACAATGTATGAGGATTTTATACCTAAAGGAGGTATAAATATGCCCCCTGGGGAAAATAATAGATTATTTGGTTTCTGGATGAAGTGTGATTAATAAAGCCAGAAAATCTACCTCAGAAAACTATGATTTAGTGGGAGGAGTGAAAAGGTAAAATTAGAAAATAATCAATGTACCTCACTAGGGAAAGAAAAGATTGGAGTTTAAATTAAAAATGAAAAAAAAAATTCAGGGTCTGGTATATTTGAGAATTTGAAGAGAAAATGTTGTTTTGTGAGCCTAATTCATTGCATACCCACTTCACTAATAAAGCTAACCTTGATGATGATGTGTCTCCTTGTCAAGGCCAGTTTGGGGGATTGATGAAAGCTAAACCAGAAAGGGCGTCCAGTTTCACATAGGGAATATGAGATTGGCTGCTATCTAAGGAGAGATGATATTTATAGGAAGGAATGAAGTGGTGGAGATTCATTTTTAGGAGGGCTGGATAGTGTTTCTCTAATCACCTCATCCCCGCCCTCTCAAATGTGTGGGCCCTACACAGACAGAGCCCTTTCTGTCACGAAACACTTAAGCTATAACACTTATTTCTTTTCAAACTGCCCCTTTCTATCTTCTCTGTATTACATTCTCCCATATCCAAATTTATTACTTTTCCCAGAGTACTTCTAATTTGCAGCTGTTTCCTGTTCTAAAGTACTTCATCTCTTCTCAACTGCCAGTGGCCCTGCCCCTCTCTATTTTTAATCCTCTGTCTTTCTCCATCTGTTTTTCTCTTTCTCACATGCACAAACACTATCCATCAACCCCTGTACTCCCTGTGTTGCTTTGCCTCTGAGTCAAAGCTTTTACAATCAGGATGGTGAATGAAGTCAGATATAAATGTATATTTCCCAATAAATTATATGATTAAACACCATTAGTTGGATAAAGTCATTTATGGTAGGATCTATGGATTTGTGTGCTTTATATTATCTTATTTTACTTGGGGAAAAAGATTTTCAGAGTTGAATAAAATATGGTCTGTGTACCTCCACAAAGCAAAATAGCATACTGGTCCATTCTCAAAAAACAATGGTGGAGTCACCTCATGAAAGTAAGTTCCGCAGATAGTTTCTTTGAGAAACTGAGATACTGAGAAAACCTTTCTGAGTGGCAGTAAAGTCCCCAAAGGTGGGTGAGAAAGCATATGTATTTAATCAGTCTTTAGGAAGAGTAGCACCTTCTCAAGCACTTAAGAAAAATATCGCATGATGAAGCAAAATTTCTATGACTCCTCAAATCTAGGTTTGATTTGATAAATACTATACATTTCCATTATTATAAGAAAAAAATGAATATCACAACAGAGAAATAGATGGATTCTTTCACTTAATTTAGTCTCATCACTTGCTCTTTCTGTGGCAGTATTACTGAATCCAGCTCATTATAAAGAAGACATGCAAGGTTTTGTGATAGCTATGGAATTAACCTATGCCATGACACAGTGTTTTTTATCTGTCTAAAATTTCTTTTATCTCTGAGTTTGGCCCGTTGATCTTGAAATAGAGTCTTTTTACATAGTTCTGTATTTAGGGCCTTTAAAAATGAACATCTCTCAGTAATACTTGATAATTCCAAGCCACTGTTACAGTACAATTTAATAGTTATGGAAGGATGTCTTTCTCCCCCATTATATACACGCTACCTAGTTATTTAGTGACAGTCACACAAAAAACCTCTGGTTCCATGGTAGGTGAAGACAGCACTATGATCTCAACCTTAAGACTCCAATGAAAATAAATTATTTGGTCCTGCTTAGTGTTTTTATTCTAATAATTCTCAGAAGAATAAGATGTAATTTTAATGTCGTTCTGGTTCATGAAAGACTATAAACTAAAATTTTCATAACTTTGAACTTTAACCTTTTCAGTCCTCTTCAAACAGGCTACAGAAGTTGTAAACAGTGGAAAATAGAAATGGCTAATGAATTATACTTTCGGACATGCAAAAGATCAAAGTTGTGCAGTTTATTATTATCTTCTAGAGAATATATAGGACATTAAAATTCCGATGCTGCAGTCTTGTGATAAAGAATATAATGAGAACTATAAATAATAAACAGTACAAAATGAATCTTCTTGTGACAATGATTACAACTTAGAATAGGAAATACTTAACCCATTCCCATTACCATCAGAAGAAAGGGCTACTTTGTTGATGTTTATCTTCCCCCTTTGCATATAGGAGCTATTCAAGCCACAGAAAAGAAAGAGACAACATATGTTCAAGAGTTTTGAATATCTTGTGTCATGAGCCCTTTCCAAAATGAATATGATATCGTGGTATAGGATTAATATTGGCTCATATTGCACTAGAATAATTTAAAAATAGATATTTTAAGGCAAATCTTCTGTTTAAAAATGGATATTTTGCTGTCATTGAGGACACTGGCACCTATGATAACAAAGTAATACAGTATTTCCATACAGAAGCCATGAATAAACAAAAATATTTGCATTTCCCTTGCAATTAACAGCAAGATCCTAGGCTTAGTCGGTACTTGAATTCACTGAAACCTGTTATATAGGCACAGAGTTCTACATAAACTAAAGAAAATATATTTATCCTACACCACGGAGGTATAAATAAAATTTCAATGCCTCAATTTGCTAATAGTTATTCTTTGTTGCTTACTATAGGTGTTCAGTGTTTAGACATGACATAGAAAATAAACACACACAGGGTGTTAGGGAAGAGAAAAGAGGGTTGAAAAAGAGCAGATTGTGTTGGTGGCACTTTCTTGTCATAGTGAATTTGTTATGGATTGCTGTAATTGTGAGTAAAGTCTTTCTGAGCGTTTATTGGAGCTACTTCCTTTGAGAAGGAAAACGTATCCTGTCCTGCTGTCACTTACCACACCTTTTGGCAACTCTCCAGAGATGCAGCACTGCTGTTGACACAACAGCTTGATTTCTTGTCAAAATATCTTTTAACATCTGGCTCAGAAGATATTTTTGATGACTATAAGCATGCCCAACTCCTCTGTTCATTAAGGCTGAAAATTCAATAAGTGTTTGGTGCACTGGGACTAAGCCACCTCATAGTGAGCAGCTGTCAAATGATTTGCTGAATACTTCTGCTCAACCCACCACAGTGAAGTGATGAAATTGTACCAGCTTCAGGACATAGACAGAGTGAGCGGAATTTAAGCAAGCACTATACAGATGTTCCTTCTAAGCCTTGCACTACCACTTGTAAATTTAGAACAATCTATTATGAAACAAAAGGAGAAAAAGAAACTTCATGGATCCATGTGCCCTTTTTGTTCTGAGTATGTAGTAGCCCTTTGTTCAGATAATGGGTGAAGGGATCAGCCCCGTTTCACCTTCTCCCTGGACTTTTATTTAGCCAGCCCTATATATACTATGTACTTAGCAACAGTGAAATGTTGAGAGGCAAACACTAGTACATGTTTGAAACAATGGTCTAGAACTCTCCCATCTTCTCTGCCCCTTTTCTTTCCTGACCTTTCAGCCTGGTTCTGTCTCTAACTGGTTGCAAAATGTTGACTCTGTTACTCTCACCTCAGTCTCATCTGGCTACTTTTACTGTTTGTTTGTGCATTTTTTCTATTATCTGGACTTCGGTTTACCTTTATGGACCTTATCTTAATTTACCCATCCTGCTCTGAGCAACCCCCATAGCCTTAGGTAGGTAGGAATCCCCCACCCTAGACTTGGCCAAGTCTAGCAAGAACCCAAGGGCCGCTCCCCACAGTCACACAGCTGCAAGCCAGTGGTAGGGATTAAGCTACTTAGAAAACACTGGCACATTACTGTTTTAACTTCTTAAAGGTAGAAAACAAAATCCAAGGTTTAGACTCCAAGAGTGGCATTTTAAAAAATAATTCACAATATTCAAACTTTAGAATCTTTATTAAATCTCCAAGTATGTAAGGCACGTTAGTGCTAAACAGAGTGTAAGAGGTAAGGGGTTTCAAAGTTAAAACATAAATGAAAAACTCTCACTTCTTTCCCCAACCCTTTTGTTTCCTCCTTTTTTGCCATCAGTTGTTCTCTCTGTTTGAGGATGCAGGAGCTGGCATGCCCCAGGAATGGAAATTGGCAAAATAAGAAGGCAGTGGAGGACCAAATATTGGGGGAGGAGCAAAAGGGATAGGCATAGCGAGGAATGGACTGAAACTCGGAGGTCGAGGAGGGATAAAGCAATGAGCAGTAGCACAAGAAGGTAAACCTGGAGTACTGGAAGACAAGGGAATAGGCCTTGGCTGGTTCTCCACCGGGTGCTGCCGGCCTCCCAGTGGGAAAGAAACGTGGGCCAGCCTTTCCTTGCTGGCCATTCTCTGCTTTCCTGGAGGCAGCTCCATCATTATCCCCGATCTAAGGGTGGGGATGTGTGGAGGTCCTCTTATTTGTGGGCCTCTGGATGGAAAGAGCCCTTGACCTCGTGGCAAGGCCACATATAACCTTGCATTACTGCCACCTCTCTCAATGCCCCCATTGCTGACCCTTGTCCCCCCTATCATCAGTGCAGAAAGGCCGCCAGAGAATTCCTGGGACACATTAATAGAATCCTGTCCCCTCTGCCTCCCACCTGCCAGCCCCTCAGAACTATTTACTTCTGCTGTTGCTAAGGACTCTTCCGCAACAGCAGGTGGTGGCCCATACTGGTGTTTGAGAGCTCTGGAACTGTTGACAGGAATGCAGGATCTTGTTCTCTCCAAGGGGTGCTCCAGTTGCTCTCCTGCCAGATGGTTCAGCACATTGAAGGGAGGTCTCAGCGAGACGTGAGGGTGGCCCCAGGACTCGGCATCATCCTTCAGCGTGGAACTCGGACACTGGAGGAGCACATCGGGGTGCAGTTTCTGGTTCCCATGTTCATCTGCAGCTACTGCTATGGGTGAAGGGACGTGCCCTCCAAGGCTTGCAAAAACAGAAATGAATAAGTTAATAAAAATGGAAATAGAGTGACCAGAAAATATCTGAAATATGTGATTGATTGAACTCGCTGGAATACACCAGGGGAAAAGGGAGAGCCCTATCTCCTCCCACGTGTAGTCAGCAAGCACTTCTTTAGCCCACTTGCCCCTTAACAGGCAGCCTCTTTAGCACCCGCTTCGCTTCAGCTTTTCCCTTCATGGCTGACCTGTGACTCCACCCCATTTTCCATTTCCCCACCTTCTCAAGGAAGCAAGGAAGCCTTAAGGACCCAGATAGCTTCCTTAAACGCTGCAGTGTGCAGGCACGCCATAGGAAACACCAGTGCTTTCAGTTCCAGTAGGATCTATGATCCAATAAGCCCAGCTTTCAGATTCTGGAAGGAGTGTTCTGGAAAGTCTTGAGAGGGAGAACATTTGTTTTTTTCTCCACGGAAGTCGAAGAAAGGTTAGTCATGTTAACAAACACTCCAATTTGTTTCTCTTTATGAAGCGTCATTCAACGTTTACACCATATTTTATTAAAATTTTCTTTCATTCAATCCATACCACACCATAGAATATGAATTTCCTCATGTTGAAGCCCCACTGTTTAGACTAAGGATTTGCAACTTTTATTTCAAAATTACATTTTAAAATCGCCATTTTTAAATCCAGTATTCTTAGTACCTGAGTTTATATCATTCAAGTCTTGTCTGTGATTCTGTCCCGCACCACCTCCAAAACACTAGCCCCTGTCCCGGTTACACAGGAAAACAATTCAAACTGCCTCTTGCCTTCAAAATTAAACAGTTGTACTCAGTTTTGTACTTACACATTTTCAGTACAAGACATGGAGCTATTTGATCAGGAAAGTCTTCCAGAGGTGATGAAGAAAACCAGCTGAATGCCTACCCAGGCCAACTCAGTCTGAAGAAATGACCCCTGCTGCTGCCTTAGAGCAGCTTGGCAAGTGGAATGAAGCCAGGGACCAATTGCTTCTTTCTAGATTTGGAGTTCTCTTTCTGAGGTTACCAGTTGCTAGGGAAGGGAGGGAGAAAAGGAGGAGGGAGGGGGAGGGGATAAACCTGTGACACAGCTTTGAAGCTACATGTAAGATTCCTTTTTGCAGAGCAGAAGATGGATGGTAAAAGCATTTGCTACATTAACCCTGTTGCAGGCCAGTTGGAAAAACCAATCATTTCAAGAAGATTTTAGAAGAATCACGGAGAGATGGTCTTTGGTTAAGAGTTATTTCTGATGTTTTAGTTAGAAAAAGTAGTTGTCGAATCTCCTCTTGGAGTTTGGGAACACAAACGTTGAGAAGAGTACCATGCCTAAGCTTGTAATTTAAATTTCCAGTATTGGGGATGCATACTGTTAACTTGGTGGGGATCAGAGGTTTGGGGGGTTAAATTGCTTTTTAATCTGCATCTCGCTTGTGAAGATGAAACAAAATAGTACTATAAAAAATCTCTCCAAGGATCATATTGGCTTTTATTTTTTAGCCCCTCAATTTGCAGTTCTTTCTTTCATCCTACCTGTTGGCTCTGTGTGGGTGTGTGTGTGTGTGCATGAATGCATATATTTATATATTTCCTGTAATAGAGCTCTGGAAACTTCTCTACGAGTGGAATAGGAGAATAAAAGGCATAACAGGTATTATAAATTTACAAATATTAGTTCAGATTTTGCCTTTAACTTTTTTGCATAAGGCACTTTCTGTTCTTCCAGCCTAAATTTCATCCCTCTCCCCCACTTTAAACAAATATCCTTCCCCAGTTTTTATTTTCTGCCATTGATCTACAGATTAATTGCTCTGAAATTACAATGACCATCCCCTCATAGAAGGTTATTAATCGTGCTCTAGGATAAAGCCATAAACATGGCCCACTTCCTTAAGTTTACCTAAGATTTGTGTGGTACAGACTAGAACTTAAAGACTTTAAAATATATTTCTTTATTCCCAATATCAGAATATACTGTTATATTTCAGCAATAATATATGTATATTTCTTTTTTCTTAAGGAAATATAACAGATTCAAACACCATGTGTTTCAGTTTATAGATGTGTGGAATGTGTGTGTGTGCGCTCTTGTATGTGTGCAATGGGTAAGTACAAGATACTTGAATGGTCACTGCTGGGAAGCAACACAATTCATGATAGAAATGACCTTTTGGGTCTCTAAGTGCACATCTTCCAGGCAGGGTGCCTTGTCTCTGTATGTACACTATAGTATTGAAGGTTGTTTTTTGTTTTTTTTTTTAATCTCATTGAAAGATGAAAGCAGCATGTTTCCAACACTTCCAGAGGAATCTGTTCACTCGCCTAGCATGGCTCACTATTAAGAAATCTCTTGGTTCCCAAACTTCAGTTTCTATTTTTCTTTGGTTTATTCTTTCCTTGTCCTTATGTAAAAGAAAACTTATTAGCAATATAATTGTGGTGGAGCATTAAAGCTCTTTTAACACTTGCCATATCGGAGGGAAAAATGCAATTTGAGTTACTGCTTGCTAATATCTGGTAAGTCATATTTGCATAGTTTATGTTTGAGAACTTGCATTTTTTTTTCTGAATAATGGCTAGGAAGCCCCAGGAAACCTTTTTACATCTATCAAACTATTGCAATTATTGGCTGTTTTTACCTAGAAATGCCTGTTTAGCAAAATATCATCTTAATTGGATTACGTGAGAGTGAAATGTAATATAGGCACCAAATAGCTGGGCACAGTGACAAAGTCAATGACACCCAAGAATTTTCCAAAACCATAATAGGTGTTATAAATTTACAGATACTAGCTCAGGTTTTGTCTTGCAACGTGTTTGCTTTCATGCAGACAGTGAATGTTTATTGAATGCCTACTGCATGCATTCACTATTTGGTTTAGTGTGGATTATACCAAAAAAATTAAATACGCCATCCATACAGACGTCAAGACATATTCAAACTTTCTGGGGAGACAAAATAACATCTATAGAAGAATGGCATAGAAAAGAATAGACATAGATCATTAGCTGCATGGTGGAAACTAAGACCACAATGGAAATGCAGAAGAAAGAGCTATAGTTTTAGGTTAAAGTAGTTGTGAAATATTTCATGCCTGGTTGGGGCTTGAGTTGTGTTTTGAAAACTGGATACGATGTACATGGGAGGCATTCTATGTCAAGAATAGGTATGGAGGTAGGAATGAAGGGAAAATTTTGGAATTTTGCAGTTCAGTATTTTAATCCAAACTAGGGCTCATATTGGCAGAAATAGAAATATAAAGAGCCAATTGGACCCTCTAGAGACAGCAAGATCAGCCAGATAGTTAGTAAAGTTGTACTCATCAGGGAATATTTGAAGGCACTCAAACTTTATAGTTAAAGGTAAAACTAGAATCATCTCCAAACCTACCTTTTGACGAAAAGCTGTTAGGCTACCTCAATTTTCCACTAAGCTGTGAAAATGAAGTAATAAAGTGCATGCCTTTTTTGTTAGTTTGTTTGAGTTACTGCTTTGGGGAGGGAAAAATGGGTAATGGAAGTTGAGAATTTGCCAAAAAGTAGCTTAGTTGTGAAAGTAGCTAAGCTATAAATGCCTTTGATTACCCATGACCGCTTATTTCATGACAGCTCTAGAGATTACTCACGCATGTCCTCAAAAGGTTCTGAGAACTTTATTGAAATGCTAAGCGAGGATCATACAAGGATATATTTACGTTTTCACAGCAATTATTAATAAATTTGGGTGTGCAGGCAAGATCACATTATTGTGGTTTTTTCAAAGAAATTTCATAGATGCGTAAGTGCAGGCAAAGTATCATTTAAAATACATCCTTTCTCTTTTGCTTAGAAAAAGAATCTGGGAGATAGAGACATAAAGATGACTTTCTCTTTTTCCATCAGGCTAATAAGGAGGTGATGAGGCGATTGTCAAGCTGATCTCTGGGGAGAGAGATGTCAAAAGATCCCATCCATTAACTCACTTTCAAAATGTAATGCAACTATGCCTGTGGAAAGCTCTGCAAGTTTAGGATGTCTAAAAGTACTTCTAGAAGATAGGCCAGATATTTTTAGGGGTCTGTTGCTATTTAATTCAGTGTATTAAAAAGCATGAGATTAATGAAAGCATGATATTATCCCAGAATGGGCCAGACAGCATTATTCAGTTGCACAAGTATAGGCAGTACTCCTGTCCTCTCTGCCACCAGCTGTCCTGCAAACACTGTGTGGTAAGTGATGAGGATGAACAGGTGAGACTGTGGTTATTTCACCACCAGTACTGGTAAAAGCAACTAACAATATATGCCTCATTGTTGGACCTATTTGTATGAACTTAAATAGACTATTATTGCTTTTCTCAAGTTCTTTGCTCCAGATTTTTAAAAATTTATTTGTTTTAAATCAGGTAATTTATGGCAATTTCTCAAAAACATGTTATTTCCTTGTATAAATCAGAGGCTATCATAAGTTCCTTCAACATATATCACAATTTTTTCTTGGTCTCCTGAGAATCAGAACCGGAAATTACATAGCAGTGGGGCAAGCCAGATGAGAACAAAGGAAGAAGGAAAAGGAAACCAAGACTTTTTTTACCACTTACTCTGTACCAGACATTTAATATATTTTGTCTCATTTAATATTCACAGCAAACCTTTAAGGCAGTACTATTATTATACCTATTTTATAGATGAGGATAAAGAGAGTTGGAGAAGTTAAGTAGTTTTTTCCAAGGTCCTACAGCTAGTAAATGGCAGACAATATTCAGACACAGCCAATCTGACACCAAAGCCCGTATTTCTTCCATCTAACCACATGGCTTCCTGACTATAGTTCCTGGGTGAATCAGATAGGTGGCTCAGATCAAAACATGTGTACCACATCTGAGTTTAGTTATTTAATGCATGGATTCACTGACACTCATCCTAAGGTAGTTCTGCAATGAAGAAATCATCCAAGCTACAATGCATCCCAGAAAGTCTGCCTATGCACTGATGCAACAAGTGAAGATTAGGCATTTGGTGGTATTACAGTAAGATGGTGAGAACTGAAAATCCTGTTATGGAGCAACTTGGGTTGGTGACACAGAAAAGAAATTAACTATAGGACATCACTGGGTGACCATTGCTAATGAACTAATTTTAGTATGTGACTAGTATTACCAATATTAAGATTAAATTAATGTTGAACTCTTGAGCTACAGATATAGGGTTCCTCACATGACTTCCATGGCTCTAAG